CCCTGATTTAGAAGGTAAAAGAACTTAATGTAGTTTTGAATTAAAAGTTTAAGATATGTAATTTCTTATTTCTTTCAACATGCACTCTTTTTTTTCTCTATGTGCCAGGAGAGATCATCCTTGAGCAACAACATCAAAAAATCATGCTTCATTTATTGGAAATCATTATTCTGCTACTTACTCTTATAGGTGTGCTGCAGGATGCAATTTTCATATAGACTTTAATCAATGTTATTCAAATACTAGCAATGATGGTAGAAGGAAAGTTGGGCCTTAAATGTACTACTAATAGAGTTCTGAAGCTATGAAATTGTAATTTTTGTAAATTTTGTCGATCAAACAGTACCAGGAAATCAGACAAAGAAAAATACGGTCAAATAATTTCAGATAGTTGGCCCATACAATATACCAATTATTTTACACACACACAGAGAGAGAGAGAGAGAGAGAGGGAGAGGGAGAGAGAGAGAGAGAGTGTGTGTGTCTGAGGGGGAAAGATTCAGAAAAGAGACAGAAGATGTGAGCAATGTGAAAAAAATTATGTAAGGTCAAGTATTAAAATTACTGCAGTGCTGTACTGTATCAGAGACACTGACATTTTACTGACAAGATGATATAGGAAGTGGTTATGTTACTAATAGTTTTGTGGGCTATTGGACTGCTCCAAACCTGTTAGAGGGAAATAAACTTTAAAGTGTCTTACCTCTTTTCTCTCTTTCACATTTGTTAACATGACAATAGTTGCAGACTTCTGTTCCCATATCAACCTCCAGAAATCATTTACTGTGTCTTGTTTAGGACCTAGATATAGAAAACAACTACTGAATGAACAGTTATACAGAGCACAGAAAAATGTTTTTTATCCTATCTATTGAAAAGAATATCAAATTCTATAAGAAATGCTCAAAGAGGTTTCCAACATTCAGAAACTCCAAGGGAAAAAAACAAATTTAAAAAGTACATATTAAAATTGAAATAAACAGGCCAACTGGGATTGGGATTTCACAATAAAAATGTTTCACTAACTCCAGCAAATAAACTATCCCTCTTTTTAATAAGAGAAACTCTACACTATTTTTATTATTTTAAAACACGTTCCTCCTGAAGCTTCAGGCTGAGGTATAAAGTGATGAAAAATTGTGCAGTGGCCCTGAATCCAAAGTTTATTCTTGCTAGTGAGGTGAATATATCACAAGGAAATTTTAATTGTAAAGACATATCTCCCTAAGCCTTCATTCCTTAGAAATATAAAGTTTAATTGGCTCAAGAAAACCAATTCCTGCTTGCATTCCACTGCACTCTTCTTGCATCTTGACACAAAAATCTATACACTTGCATAATTGGACAGTTACTTGCCTAGTCTCACTCAAAAAATAAAATGAAATGCAGTAGAAACAGTAGAATTAAAGAGATTTTGACATCTACTATAAATATATTTATATAATCCTCAACAGTTCATGGATCACATCAATCCCTTCTGTACATGTTTTCAAATTGGAAAATTGGATTAAAGACACACACATATATGCACCTTGTACCAAAAATGACACTCTATAGACAAATTATTATATACATTACATTAAATATTCAAGTATGTTGATATTCTCCCATTTACTTAGGACTCCCCCCCCCAAAAAAAAAGTCTACACCTTCATTGTTTTCCTGCAAACTATAACTTTGCTAAACATGGTGATGTAGTTATATTTGCCACATTAAAGTTTAACCCTAATCCAAATTTTTCATTTTTACTTTCTAATGATTCCTATTAATAACCAGTTTGGTAGTGATTAAGGAAACAGGCTAGAAACTGAGAGACTGGGCTTTAGTCCTATTTTCAACAGGAACCCAGAAAACTGCAGGAACCTGTCTAGGCAGTCACCCGTCAGTAAACATTGACTTGAAAGTACACACACATACACACAAACTGATCTCTACTAACTCTCCCTTGGTTCTGTGTATCTCTAATTCTTATACCAATGTCATATAAAGAGTGAAGTCAAGATAAATTGCATGCTTCTCCCTTTTCCTTTCACACTATGCACCACTGCCTTTCCAATAATAAATAAGAAGTTACATGCATTCTCAGTAACTTCTTATTCAATCTAACGACTCTCCAGAAAAAAACACTTAGGTATTTTGGCATACTCATTAACAACAGAATAAATAAAACCAATATACAAAATCCTTAAAATCTTACTTTAGACTAAACAAAATATTTCTGAGGTTGTTTTGCACAGCAAAAGTACAAAATATTAAAAAAAAACCTGTCAAACAATAGAAACCAAAAGATACCTTGAGCAGCTATAAATTTATTCTTTTCCTTGTAGCCCTATGAGAAAATAAAAATGTGTGTTATTTTTAGAAGAATATACATTAGAAATGCTTTTAAAAACATTATGTAGTTATTTTGAGAAAATAAATAACTGAATAAGAAAAGGATTTCACTTACATCTATATATGAAGCATTAATATAGTCTGAACACTGAAATCCATCTATTTGCATTAAAGTTACTCTGGAATGATCATCTGTAAAAATGAACACTCAGTTAGAACTGTTTATCTCTAACATGGATGAAATGTGGATAAAGCTCTTTTCCTTCTGAAAAAAAGCTAACCTAAAAAAGTTGATGCAAGAATGTATGATTATTTATTTTATAGGTTCTATACTGAATAACACCATGCGTTCATGCTACTAAAATAATGATTTTTAAAGCTTCAGTTTAGCAGTGTATCATAAATATAAATGCAAAATCTTAGGAAGGAAGAAAGAATGATTAATAGCAACATAAGGTATCCTGAATTAAAATGCCATGTACTAATTTCATTGGCTTCCAGTTTAACGGTGACATTAATTTTACCACTACAAATGGACACAGACCAAGTAATTTAGAGACACTTCTTCACAAATAAAACCATGACACATTTTCCTGATGGTGATTCCCAGATTAGAAACACAATAAAGTTCTAATGTCCTCACAAAACACTCCCCTGTTGTTCTCCTAGAAATAATTAGTAGACATCAGAATTAGTAACTGGTCTCATGAATGCATCTAATCCCTTTTTACAATTATTACAAGGACTCCTGCTCACACCATGAATGATGTGTTATCTCATGTCTTTGAAACAGAAGGAAAATAGATGACATGAAAAGCTGCTGTTCCCATGGCATTTCTTTTGATTGAAATAAAGCCAGCAACATTGGTACCCACAAAAGTTGTTGGTGGGGATTATAACCTTGTAACTCTAGTGAGGAGAGAAGTTGGCAGGACAACTAAAGAAGTGGGAGCTCAGTGTTGGGGAATCTACATTCTTCAAACTCAGTTACCCATCTGTGACACCCAGGCTGAATCATTGCGCCAGCTGATGCCATCCTTCCCTACTCCCTGATCTTCACATGGCCATTCTAATTGGGCATGGCTTCTAGTATGGTCAAAAACAACACCATATCAATTTGGTCACTACTGGCTCTTCTTTAGAATCTCAAGAACAGAAAAAATATTATTCTTTAATACTTTCTAGGAGAATCTTGTCACCACCTAAGATAGCATCATCTGGTAAGACCCTCCCATAAGGGAGACTAATAAAGAGAAAGCAGCTTTAATTGTGCCCAAATTAATACAATTAATTACATTTAAATTAATTTAAATTTGTTGCCTTCTTCCATTGGATGATTTCTAGACTACTTTACAAAGTAGTATTTGACTACAAATACTTATAAATACTACTGGATTATATTCTGGATATTAACACTGGAATCTAATCCTCACTATTTTTCAATAGGAGTATTAATCTTGGAGGAAGGTTTTCCACCAGATCATTATTCCTATGATTGAAAAAAAAAAGGCTTCAGGGAAGACTTACTTTCAACAGCCAAGGCAGAAATGGCCACAGAGGCACAGAATTTATGGCTGGCTGGAAGGAATGATCCTGAAGTAGGTTAGATGAATACCTGTAAGTCACCAACCTACATCTGATTTGTCCACAGCACACAGACTGTTCACAAAGGAAGCTTTTATAGAGGTCCTACCAGATGTATGGGGAAGAAGAAATGGATAGTAGAATGTCCCTCTTTCCCTTAAATACTGTACATAACATTATCTATTTCAGATACATAGTGAAATTTATCCAAATATTTAGTGTACTACATCAGCTAATTTTAAACATTCTATTTGATATCTTGCCTCATCCTTGGCATCCTTGTATACGGTGGCTTCACCCTCTCTATTTTTAACTAGAACCATCTGGTATAAACAAAACATTTCTTGCCTTTGGTGTGGCTTTGTTTTGACACAGCTAACTGAAATCTGTCATGATAAACCTCCTGTTCTTGGCAAGGTCAGATAGACAAGTTGATATGATATACCTATCATCCCTGTGCTTGGCATAAATGCATAGGCATGTACACATATGATTATTTGTTGTCTGTGATCTATATAAACCAATCAGAAGTTCCTCCAATATAGAGGAACTATAATCAATATATATATTGATTAGCCTATAGGTCATATCAACGTACAGGTTCTAGCACATATTAACAATAACATTCCAAACAAACAATTTAAAATGAGAGTAGGGTAAAATACAATAGAGGATAAAATACAATAATTTAATACATAAATATATAAAATAGAATAAAAAGACATAAAATTATATTTCTGTATCATTGGAAGTTATCCTAGACAATATATCTGTATTGTACCCTCAGTCCATAGGAGATTTTAATTCTAGGTTGGGTCCTTCTTTGTATGAGTTCACTCAGAAGAGTCCCCAGGGGAGTTATTCGATAATTATCCTCAGGGGCTCTTTAGAAACCACAAAAGTAATGCTGCTGGCCTGTTCCTAGTCTCCTTAATTTTTAAGGGTAATTTCCCAATTCTGGGAGGTAAGTATAAGAATTATACATATCCTTACACATACAACTTGGCCCATTCAAGCGGTGTGCTGGATCTGTTTTGTGTTTCTAGAGATAAAGTCAACCTGTTCTCAGAGGTTACGGTACACTTTAGTGATGATAGCGATCATCAGTCTGTAATTTAGTTTAGTTTCCTTTATTGTCACTGCACCTCGTACAATGAAATCAAACATCGTCTTCAGTGCACATCATGACCATGACCATGACCATGAAAGCATGACATTGAGAGGCTGCTCAGATCTAAGACCATATAACATGGCTGACAGATGGCTCACCATAAAGATAGAGGTGACCCAAAATAAAAGGTTAATTTTGGCTCAAGTTGGTAGTAAGGCAATATCAGACTGCTATAAAGCAGAGAATGCTACCAACTGGGCTAGAGCAATCCAATCATCTACTACTGACTGATGGTCAGTCTTCGACACATTCTCTAATCTTTGTAATATCCTGAACAAATCCTAACAACTAAACCTGCTACAAAAACAGCCTGAGTGGGTAGACCTCGTTCGTTTGATCCTGAATGCCAGCGGCTGAAAAAGAAATTGAAGGCAGCGATAAGGCTCGCACCGAGGAATCCTACTGCTCATATACAAGCTGAGATGTTGCACATGAGAATATATTTTTTAAATAAAATTAAAGAACTAAAATGTAAAATAAAGTCAATACAACAAAACAAAAGGACAGCTGAGGGTGAGTATAACAAATACTTTCAGAACAAAATAGGATTATCTATCATCTCAGTTCAACACAAGGAGAAAAGCATCAATAGTTAACACCATACTTTCATGGGAGAAAATCCCACGGTTTATCAACTTATTTACTGATTTATTCATACATGCAAGTAGTTCTTGACTGGTGACCATTAATTCAGCAACTGTTCAAAGTTACAACTGTGCTGAAAACTGAATTTACAATCTGTGCTGTTCCAGCACCCCAAAGGTTACATCAGAATTTGGGTGCTTGGCAGTCTACCTTCACTAATAACCACAGGGGCGCTCCAACTCCCCCCATTCAATTATCTCCCCACATCTTTGTCCTCTGGCCACTCTGCACTCTCTATTGCAGGATGAAAAGCAGCACCACAATTACACAGCTCTGAGATTATTTGTCATATCCCAGGAAGCCACAGCTGCCCTACCTCATCTTCATTATTTATTTGTTTTTTTGCTGTCACTTCTGATGAGTTGTGCCCAGCCTGGCACAACTTTGCTTTAGGTTTTTGAAAAAGAAACACTTTGGCATGCTTCCATTCAGGGACTGCTTTTGACTTTTTTCCCCACTGCAGATAAAACCCAGTCCACCCCACAGTCACGCCAGGCATGCCTTGTAAGCAGCAAGAACCCCCCACCCCCCCAAAAAATTGGTGAAGATGTACTGGGAGGATTGAGGCTTTCCAACTAAATAGTTCTGGGACTATTTGCTATCCTGCACTGTGGGGTGCAGGGCAGAAAAGGGGCAAAGATGGGAGGGAGAGATAGAGAGGTGCAGGAAGTTGGAAGCAGCCTGCTACATTACTGAAGTTTGGGGCGGGAAAAGACCAAGCCTGGAACGGCTTGGAATGGGATACATTCTTGGCTAATGATTGATAAAATTCACTTAATTGTCAAAATTGTTGTTGCTAAGCAAAGTATTCATGTGGCTTTACAGCCACAATGAACTTACGATGGCAATCCTGTCCCAACTATAGTTGTTAAGTCGAGGGCTACCAGTATATGAATGTAGCAATAGCATTTAGACTCATATTGTCGTATATCTCATACGAACAAAGGACGCGAGTCAGTGACTTGGTTCAGCTCATTTATTGGGGTAAAAACACAAGTGGGGAGAGTGGGAAAGAAGCACGGCTTATAAAGGCTTTCTGCTGAGTGCTGCGGCCAATCGGGTCGTTTTGAATCGCCCGCGATCGGCTCAGCCAATCGCGGTCGATTCCGAGCGACCAATCAGTGCCGCGCACTCAGCCAATCCGGTGGCCGTGCGCTTTAGCCAATCCGGGCTGCCGGATTTCGAGTATGCAGATGTCTGTACAGAACACCCCTCCCCTCTTGGTTTGGTCCTACGTGACGTAGTCCCGTAAGTAGGCGGGGCTCCGTATTTTCCGACTTGACTTGCGCTGGTCAGTTGTCTCCTGTTTGTCGGCCGGTTCGGGTGGGACTCCTGTCGCTCTCCACCTCGTTGATGGAACCACCTGGAAGGGTGAGTCAGGCCTCTCGCCGCGGCTCCCTCCTGGTCTTCCCGGGTCGGTCGAGCTGCTGGCTTCGCTGCTCCCGCTCGGCTTTTCCGGGCTGGTTGAGCTGGCTTGGCTGCTCCCGCTCGGGCTTCCGGGGTCGGTTGAGCTGGCTTGGCTGCTCCTTCCAGGTGAGGCTTTGAGTGGGTCGCTCTCCGGTTCTTCAGATGGTGAGTACTGCTGGTTCCTTTTCGGGTGGGTTTGTTCTTTTTGTTCTTTGGGGGCTTCCCTCCCCTCTTGGTTGGTGTCTTGCCGGTTTCCTTCTGTACCTGGTGTCTGCGTGTCGGTTGTGTTTCCCGCGGTGGCTCTTGATCTCAGTTGGTCGATGTGGCGTTTCCACGCTCATCCGTCAGCTGTTTGGAGGCGGTACGAGAGTGGGCCTGTTGCTTGGGTGATCGTTGCCGGTACCCAGAGGGGGTCTCCGGTGAGGTTTTTTGCGTAGACCTTGTCTCCCGGTGAGAATGTTCTGTGTTTGCTGGTAGAGTCAGGGGGTCTTTCCGGGTTGTATGTGGGGTGCAGGCAGTTGAGCGGGGATCGCAGTTTTCTTCCCATTAGTAGCTCCGCTGGGCTTTTGTTCGTTGTGGTACTCGGGGTTATGTGTTGAATTAGGAGCATCCGATTAATCTTGTCCTGTATGTCCCCGGTTTCGATCTTTTGAATGGTCTTTTTTGTAAATTGAACCATTTTCTCCGCTCTACCGTTCGCCGCCGGGTGCGCCGGTGCCGTTAGTGCATGCCGGATCCCTCGTTCTGCTAAGAATTTCTCGAACGGTAGTGCGGTGAACTGGGGGCCATTGTCTGATACGATGACATCAGGGAGGCCGTGGGTTGCGAAGAGTTTGCTGAGTTGTCTGATGACGGAGTCTGTGGTGGTTGTCTTCATGTTGCTTACCTCCAGCCAGTTGGAGTAAGCGTCTACGGTTACCAGGAAGGTGTGTCCTCTGGTTGGTCCCGCGAAGTCTACGTGGATTCGGGACCATGGCCCCCTGGGGGTTTCCCACTCCCGGATTGGGGCGGCTGGGGGGTTTGGTCTTGATTCCTGGCACTGCTTGCAGGAGGCTACCCAGGCTTCGATCTCCTTGTCCATCCCTGGCCACCAGGCGTGGCTTCTGGCCAGGGCTTTTGTCCTGACGATGCCGGGGTGCCCTTCGTGCAGCATGCTCAGGACTCTTTTTTGTAACTTTTCCGGGATTACGACCCTGTCCCCCCACAGTAAACAACCTTTTTGTATTGACAGTTCTGTTTGTCGGTTCCGGTAAGCTTTGAACTCGCTGTCCCCGTCTTTTTCCGGCCAGCCTTTCCCCACCCATCTCAGGACCTGCGCCAGACGTTTGTCTTTATTGGTTGCTAGGGCAATGTCTGACGCGGTCAGGGGTAGGTTGGGTAAGGTCTCGATGCTCAGGGTTGACGTGGTTGGTGCTGGGTCGGCGTCCAGGGTTGGCAGTGGTGTGCGGCTGAGGGCGTCTGCGTGCGGAATTGTCTTACCGGGGCGGTGGATTAGCCGGTAATTATAGGCGGCGAGAAATTCGGACCACCTTGTCATCCTTGGAGAGAGGATGATTGGGGTGGCCCGGTCTCCTGCCAGTATTCCCAGCAGCGGTTTGTGGTCCGTGATTATGGTGAAGGTCCTGCCGTAAAGGTATTCGTGGAATTTCTTTACGGCCGCAACGATGGCTAGAGCCTCTTTATCCAATTGGCTGTAGTTTCGTTCGGGTTTTGAGAGGGTCCTCGAGAAAAAGGCGATGGGTGCTTCTTTTCTGTCGGCGAGGGTATGGCTGAGGACGGCTCCTACTCCGAAAGGGGATGCGTCGCACGTTACCGTGATGGGGAGTGTCTCGCTGTACTGGATGAGGACAGCGTCTGATGTGAGAAGGTCCTTGGTTCTGTTGAAGGCGTCCTCTTCTCGTCTCCCCCACGTCCAGGTGGCTGCCTTGTCGAGCAGCCTATGCAACGGCTCCGCCACGGTCGCCTTTTGGGGCAGGAAAACATTGTAGAAATTAATCAACCCCAGGAACGCTTGTAATTCCGTTTTGTTTCGGGGCTTCGGGGCTTCTTTAACGGCTTTTATTTTGCCCTCGGTGGGGTGGATTCCATGCCGATCTAGTAAGTACCCCAGGAACTCGACTCGTGCCGTGTGCAGTTGGCACTTCTCTCTCTTAACCTTGAGCCCCGCACTTTGGAATCTCCTCAGTACTTCCCGTAGGCGGTCCTCTAATTGTTTCTGGTCAGCCCCGGCTACCAACACATCGTCGAAGTAAGGCACTACCCCTTTTATGCCCCGGAGGAGTCTTTCCATGAGGCTTTGAAATACCCCCGGGGCTACGCTGACTCCGAATTGGAGCCTCTTGCAACGGAATGCCCCCCGGTGGGTAACTATTGTCTGCGCCTCGGCGGTTTCCTCGTCGACCGGCAATTGCTGATAGGCTTGGGCCAGGTCGAGTTTGGCGAAAACCCTGCCCCCTCCCAGCGAGTGCAAGAGGTGTTGTACTACTGGGACGGGGTAGGCGCTTTGTTGTAGTGCGCGGTTCAGGGTTGCCTTATAGTCCCCGCAGATTCTCACAGACCCGTCTGGCTTTATCGGGGTGACTATAGGGGTCTCCCATCGGGCATGGTCTGTGGCTTCGAGGACTCCCTGTTCGATGAGCTTGTTTAGTTGCTCATCGATTTTGGGCCGGAGAGCGAAAGGCACTCGCCGGGGTTTGAGGCGGATGGGAGCAATGGTGGGGTCTAGGCTGAAGGATATTGGGGGGCCCCGGTACTTGCCTAGATTGCCGTCGAAGACCTCCTGGAACTCGCGCACGAGCTGTTCCTCCCAGTCCGCCTCGGCGACGTGGTTGGTGCCGGTCACTTCTAGTCCCAGCGGCGCAAACCATTGCAGTCCCAAGAGGCTGGGGCGGTCTCGTTCGACGACGGTTAGCGGAAGTATCTCGGTGCGCCCTTTGAAGGTAACCTTGAAGTGCCCGGTCCCTACCACGGGAATGCGATTCCCCTGGTAATCTTTAAGGATGAGCGTCTGGTTCTCCAGCTCGTGCCGCTTCATGGAAGGTACCAGTCGCTTAATTTCCCGCCACGCGACCATGGACAGGTACGATCCGGAGTCGACCTCCATTTTGCAGGGGCGGTCCTCGATTTCGACCTCCACGTGGACTTTCCGGCCGTCCCAGTTGGAGGAATGGCCGACGATGACCGTTTGGTGGGTTTCCTCGCGCTGGCGGCCTTCGTGGAAACGGCGGCTCCTCGATTCCCGGCTCCAGCGGCTCTCACCGTCCCGATCGCGGTTCCTCGGCGGGGTGTTGTTGCGCCTGGCACTTTCGCGTCTCCGGGGGGTGGTGTCTCGGTGGCGGGGGCTGTGGTTCCTCTTGAAACGGCAGACCTTGGCGATGTGTCCCCGTTTGTCGCAATGGCGGCAGATCGCGTTGAAAAAACGGCATTCTGACCTTGGGTGCTCCCCCCCGCAGCCGGCACACTGGAACTTCGATTTTCGGTTCCGTGGTTCGCGCCTGTCTCGTCCCGTCTGCAGGCGATGGACGTCTTCCTCGTCGTCTTCCGATCCAGAGGGGGACTCGAGGTCGCCGTGGTGCGTGGATGTGGCCGCCCGGTAGTTGTCGTCGGTCCGGTTTTCGGTTGTCGCGGCTGCGGCGGCCCGTTCCGCGGTGCCGGTTTGCTTCAGTTGGGCCGCTGATCTCCGGGTTGCTTCCGCCACTGTGGCTTCTGCGAGGGCATCGGCGAGGGCGATGTCGCCTTTCGCCATGATCCGGCTTTGCAGGACGGTGTCCCGGAGGCCGAGGACGACGCGGTCCCGTAGA